ACGCTAACTGCCATGTGGGGATCTGCCCTCTGGATTGCACACATGGCCAATCCAGACAACAGCTATTGGGAAATACTCTGTGAGGAACTGAGCGTAGCTAATACCCAGGTGAGCCTGGTTTGGGTCCACCCTCCAGGTGAGCCCGGAAATGACCGCACCTCACCTGACACACTGAAGTCCTAGGAGATCCTGAACTGCAGGGTCCAGTTCTAGTCCTGCTGAACCTTCTGACCTACACAGACTAGATATTCAAGTTTTGGGTAATTTCTTGTGAAGCAATAATATATAACTAATGTATTTAATTTCTGAAATCATTGATATAGATATTTGTATTTGTGAATATGCATTCCACAGGATTCCTCAAAATCTCATACATTGGCAAAATGTTTAGTATTTTCTTGCAGTAAGAATATTTAACATGATATTTACCTTGTTGGCAAATTTTTTAAGAGCACAATGTGCTATAGTTGACTATAGGAACAATGTTGTATACCAGATCTCTAGAATATATCCATCTTAATAGACTGAAAGTTTACGTGGCATGGCTAGTCACTCCTCATCTTACTTCCTTCCAGCCCCTGGCAACCACCTTCCCTCTCTTTCATTCTTTGAGCCTGACTGCTTCAGACGTCTCATGTAATGAAATCATGCAGCATTTGTCTTGATCTGACTACTTTATTTACTGCATACTATTCTCAAGGTTCATCTATATTATCACACATTATCACTGGTTTTATTGTTATTTAACTTGAATAATCATGAAGATGTGAATCTACTCTTTGAGGGTAAAGGCTGGGTTATTCATCCTTCAAATATCCTTCATTATTTGACCCATTGTGAACTTGATTAAAATCACAGCAACTCTGTTTATAGTTAAATTTAATGTAAATATCATTAGCTTTTCTAAATTCATTAGCTTTATACCCTATTAGTTTCAATCATCAGTGTTTTCACATCTTGTGTGAGTTATGCAGCATAATATCGTTTCCTGCATAATCCAGTCAACAGGAGGCCTGGCAGACTTTGGTGTGTAACTCTCTCTGGTTTATCTCCTTGTGTCGTTAATTCCACTAGCATATTCCTTTTATTTCTCTTTAATGTGACATCGACATAGCTGGTTGAATGTGCACTCTATTATGACACATAAGGATTTCCTTTAGTTGCTTTTCAAAATGTGTGCTTTTATAAGGACAATTTTAATGCTAGCATACTTCATGAATATTGTATCTAATTATAGAAAGCCATACAGATTTCACAAATAGGTAAAACTTTTTAAGTAGACTTTAGAAACTTGTCCTTTTATTGCACAAATCTTCAATTTCTTAAGTAATCAAGAAGATGCATTTACTATTTGATAAACTATGAAGAAAATTTACATCATTATTGAATAAGTCAACACAAAGCAAAAACTCCTTGACCCTTCAGGATGGTTTATGGTCTGCAAATATTAGTGGACTTAAAAGACTCCGAGGCTTGAAATATTTAATGGGTATGTATGTAAAGCTTAAGACAAACAAAATAGTATTTTTGCTGTTTTGTGAGATAAAAATTTATCTGTATCAATCAGGTTAATGCTACAAATGCTATTCTCTGTGTAACTGAAAGGAAGATATAGGTTAAATTGGAATCATTTGGTCACTTTTTCACCAACTGCTTTGATGTTGGATGATGCATTAATTTTTTCATCTTTTTATCTATTGTCATTCCTGAAACTTTGCTTATATTATTGAGATACTTATGCAACTTATTGGCAGCAATGATATATGATATATTAAATGAAAAAGAATTAAAACGTATCTTTCTGCACTCCTCTACCATAGTAAGATGTATTGTTGCTACCAAACCTGGACTGACTCTGTCACTAGACTAATGCTTCCGTACAAACACACAGACAGAGCATATGCATTCACGGAGTTAGCATACCTGAGCAGATTCAGACTTCCACTACTTACATATGTTCTCACAAATTTAACGTGTACATACATGTAAAACTATGGATTATACAGAGGTAGGCATATGCCCCTACGAATATATTCCCATTACATATATGTGTGTGCATGGATAAAGCAATGACCATGCTTTACATCAATACAGCCTCTTCCAAAATGATGGACAACTAAAGAAACAGTCTTCAGTCTGTTCCTTTCATGATTTTTAAACATTGTACCATACAAAATGAATATGCGGAAAGAACTCAGAGAAATTCTATAAATAAAGCCACACTAGGTTGGGTCCTTTGAACCATTTAAACATACCAATATTGAACTATTACTATGCCATTTGAACTATTTTTGGAATTGTTATGAGAATAATTGTGCCTTTGAACCTGATAATACCTCTGTTATTCAAGACCATACCAGAAAATAGTTAGGAAGGACAGGATAGCATTAAAACAACATGAAACAAAAATCAGAAATTTAAACGCTCTTGTTTTTATCCTTATAAATTCTCATTTAGCTTGAAAATCATTTTCCATAGTTGTTTCAGTTGCAACAAGATAAGTATTTCAAGATGTGCACTCTAAATTTGTGGACTGATGTTGTGAGTGATCACAGAATATTAAAGCTGGAATTGATCAGCGGCATTATCTGGTCCAGTGCTTTTGGTTGGCAGATGAGTTGATGTAAATTAATTATCTAAAAACATTGTAGGGTAGAGAATGAGAATGAAAAAAAAGAGCTATTACTATTTCAGGGGAGGAAAGTGAGGCATGAAGACATTAAGTAAGTTGCCAACTTTATTAGAACTCGTTACTAGCTGTTGGGATTCATATTTAGCCTGCCAATATCTCATGTAGTGCCTTCCACTGCTCTATCTTGATACTGCTGATGGTTTTATAGTGTCACCTGTAGGTGAAGAGATAATAATTTAATAAGGGAGAAATATATTTCTTGGCTCTCTGGACAGGACACCTATTGTCAAGTTATGTTGACAATAAAGGTGGGTTTCTGAATGTCACTGCTGGAGAAATCCTGAATTTTATTGAGCTAAACTCTAGAAAGAAAAGGACAATGTCATTTCAGTACTAGTGTTTAACAGATTTCATTTTAGTTGTAATATTTTGACTATGCAACACATAATAAGATTTTTTTTTTTTTACAAAATATATTTGCAAGCTAAAGTCTAGCTTCTAGTCATGCTGACTAAACAAATGTAATTGCTCTGAATGGACTCTAAATAGCTTTCAACATTTCATTACAAAGCAATTACATGTGAGTCTTTCTCAGAGCTCTCAGCATGGCTTTTAAAAAAGAAATTACACAAACAGGTGAAATCAGCCATTATGAAATATAACCTACAAGCCTGAAAAGCAAGGTTTCAGAGTGTTAGTGGAATAGGTGAGGCTTAAACCAAGTGATATACAAGTTTTGTTTCCAAGATTGCTGCATTGAGAAAATGTAGCATGGTTAAAGTAAGTTCAGTGTTAAAAAGGGAAGATTTACTTCATTTTACAATGCCATGAATATGTAAATTCATATTTTAGAGACATATGTTTGACTATGTAAAGCAAGATGTAACTGAACACAGGTCTGTATTTAGGAAAGACACAATTGTCTAAAATGAACCAAATGCTTGTTGTGTACCAGGCACTTTTCTGAACACATTACAATGATTCTCAAAGCAATCCTGTAGAGAAGTTGTTCCTGCTATTATTGTTTTCACAGAGCAAATTGAGACACAGAGAATCTAAGAAATTAGTTCAAGATCAAGCAGCCATTGATAGGAGGTCAGGATTCAAACAATGTATTCTGATGCCTGAACGAATGATTTCAACTTCTCTTAATTTTATGTATATTTACTATTAAGAATCTGATGTGAATATGTGACTCTGTCCTGCATATTTACAGCTGGAAAGAAAGGCAAGGCATTAACACAATAGTTAGACACAACTTTACAATGTACCAAGTAGTCTTTTGGCCTAAGGGATGTGCTTCCAAATATGGCTTTGTGAAAAATGAAGATACCTGCAATGGCACAGCATGGATGAATTGTGTGTGTGATGGGAATTCCTAACTGGGGTCCTGGGTGCTCAGGGGATGCACAGCCCCCTTACTATTTGACACCTAGCTGTGTGAAGATGTACATCTGAGTGTTTTCTGTGGACAAGATTTCTGCCTTTCAATATAGTTTTTAGAGGGATACATGACTTCATTAATGCGTAGAGCAGGGGCAAACTTTCAGTAAAGAGCCAGATAGAACACTTTAGGTGTTTTGGGCTACAGGGTCTATTTTCCAGTATTCATCTCTGCTGTTGCTGTGGAAAGCACTTGGAGACAGGGCAAAGAATAAGTGTGGCTTGTCCCGGGCAAACTTACTAGGGAGTTTGAAACATGAACTTGATACACTTTTTATGTCATAAACTATTATTGTTTCTTTAATTGTTGTGCAGTCATTTAAAAAATGTAGAAAAAGAAAATAAATGAGCACACAAACAAAAAACACAAAAAGACTTTCTTTGTTCAGAGGGCATAGAAAACGGGGTGCAGTTCAATGGGGCCAGTGGACCACAGCTTGTCAACTCCTAAGCTACCAGAGTGGGGCACTGTCAGGGAACGCTTTTAAGAGGCAAGTTCTCAAGCCTCTTTCTAATCTACTGAATAAGGAACTCTGCAAGTGAGGCCCGGTAATAAGTGCTAAATAATGTCTAGGTGAAACAGATACACAATAAAATTTCCCTAGAGTCATTGCTGTAATGATTTAATCCAGCCAGTCATTCTTGCAACAGATGATTTCTGAGAGGCTAATTTTGTAGGAATACAATGGAGAAATGACTATTTTCTTTTGCATAGACAACAGAATAATCCTCTAACAAAACAAGAAATGGAAATTTCTGAAAATGGCTTACATCTTCTCTCTCTTTATATATATATATGTGCATGTGACATACTTTCATATTCTGCTCTGTTTTATTTCTATAAGATCCAACTCAATAAACTGATTGTTACAATCCATGAGTGGACAACACCTGTAGTTGCAAAATGCCATAAAATTATGCTCACCAGTGCAAATTCCTTGTTGAGAATCATCTGCTCCACCAGAGACGACTCATTGTGGAAGAGGTGGGGCTGCATGTGGCTCCACATGTGAGGAAACCACCAGAACTCATCCACGGACTGGAGCAAAAGGTCATCCCCTTCATCTTCCTCTTCAGTCCCTGTGACACAGAGTTAAACATGGCTTTAGCGGAAATGCTGTACTTCTTGAACAGTTATCATTGTCAGATTTAATTTTTATGCACTCATACACAGACTCAATTGTGTTTATTAATAACAAATATCATAGTACAAATTTTATCAGAGACTATGCAAATCTGGGTACTGCATAGTAGGTGTCCCTGGCCCTGGCCACAGACAGTTACCTTAGAATTTAAGAGAAAATGTTACCTAATTTTAAATATTTATTGTTAAATTATCTTTCTTATTGTATATATCTGGCCAGAGATAGTGATTCACTTTTCTCTTTAAAATTTCTTATGCAAATCTAAAATTGAGCTTATAATTTAACTGATGAACTTTGTTTATATTTATGATTACAAAATAACGTATGTTGAAGTGCTCAGAGCACAAAGATATATTTTGATAACAACCAACAAACAAAACTAAAACAAGCCGTAAAACTATCTGAAGTACCCAGTGGAATCCTTTGTAATCTTTCTTTAAAACATTTGTTTACTCATTTTTCAGTAATTTTGTTTCCTTGAATTTTAACATAATACATGTCAAATTTCCCATCTTAGTACAACTATTTCAGAAAAATTTAACAATGAATCTTATAGTTGTTTCAATTATAATAGAAAGCTGATTTGATAATTTAAAACTAGCATTTCTTTCTCATGTATTGGAAAAACTATCAAAAGCACCCAACACTTATGAAAGCCACTGTTTTGCCACAAGTTAAAAAGGAAAGAAAAAACCCGACAACTTATTTCTAAGAAACTTCATCATATTGTAGCTATCCAAGAATATTTCCATTGTATAAAATCTTTCAGTTTTTGTACACTTTTATAATATTCAGTTCAATTTTAAAATGTTCTAAATCAATCCTAATAATCAATTCCTGTTTGGTCTTTAAATATCAAACTGGGGTTGGGGATATAGCTCAATGGCACTAGTGCCTGCCTGGCAAGTGCAAGGTCCTGGGTTCAATTACCAGTACCAAATATATATATATATATA